AGGGTTTTGGCTTAGTTACACGCCCAGCATTGTTGATAAGGATATGAATCGTAGGTCCGAATGCCTTTATAGTGGTGTCAACAATAAATTTAGGACTGCCAACATGGCTTAAATCTGCTTGAATCTTAATTGCATCTGCCGAAGTTCCAAAGCCTTTAATTTTCTTAACCAATTGTTCTGTCGCTTCAACACTACTATCTGAAGTAAACGTAAGGGCTACTTTGGCGCCTCGAAGAGCTAGCGCTTCAGCTATAGCTGCTCCAATTCCTCTTGAAGCTCCGGTGACGATTGCTACTTTGTTTTGAAGGGGCAAATTGGTTTCTGTCATGTTCACAAGTTCGTAATATACACTAAAAGGAGTATTTGCTCAAGTATTTATATGGATGTCATTCCAAGTTGGCTTTGTCATCATAAATTTCAAGTTACTAATCAATTCCTTACTTGCATAAGTTTTTTCCTTTTTTTTTTCTTTGGTGAAAGTAACAAGGTAACGAATGACTAAAAATAAATATTTACTTCCTTAGCGACGTAATTTTAAGTTTTATGGATGACTAATATTAAATAAAATTAGCCGATTTGGCACTGTATGAATACTCTGATCAGAATATGCTTCCATATCTTAGTCGGTCTTTGCAAAGGGTAAATGTAATTCTACAAGGAATTGCGAAAATTTTAGACTGCTGAATCAGAAGACAGTTGGTTGAGCTTTGATTACAAAATTTACACCGTCAACAATCAGAACGTATTCACCATGACTAAAATTTGTAATAAAGAAGGAAAAAATGTTCTCAAAACAATATTCATACATGCGTGGAAGCAGACTGTTTTATCGGCATGATTACAAACCCTGCAAACCTGTTCACACAGATCCACTGATTGGGACTGAAAACTTCTTATTTAACTGTTTATTTGTTTATTTCTCCCCAAAAAAAAGATGCGCTCCAAAAATAGCTTGAAAGGTGGTCCATGACGTTTCCTTCGTACGTATCTTGTCATCATTAAGGATTCATTGTAAACGTTCAATTTCACAAACAATAATCGTATCTTTTAGTCTTCTTCATTCCATTCTTTTTGTTTCTTTAATTTTCTTGTGAAATTTTGCAAATAAAATGCGAAATACATTTGTTTCATTACTAAATGTTTCGGAAACATCATTCTTAGATGTACCGAACTTGATCCTCTAACAATTTTACTATAGAAGTAAACACTTCGAACCACTTTTCCTTTTACCCGCATCTCAAATAATTTATATAAAAAAGGAAGAAAAAGAAGCTGGTTTAAGGATTTCCTTTTAAATACAATGTGTAATAAATGGTATAGTGTGAATCAAAAATCTAGAAGAACGGCTATAATGCTTAATTTAGAGATATTCAGAATAATGGAAAGTTTTTAGACTTTGAAAGACATTAATTGTTACTCTCAAAAGGATGAAAATATCCTGTTTATTCAGGCAATAATATGTCTGTTTATAGATTTTTTCTATACCATTTCAATTCATAAAACTTATCGTAGTTTATCTTACATTGATTGAGTTAAAGTGCATCTAAAATACTTAATGAAGAATTCTTAATAGGCTGAATTTTTTATAAACGAAATATACGAAGGACACAGCGCTGTCACTATATATAGATGTATTAGCGTATATGCTGTAAACAAAAACTCAATTGATTATTACTGTAAAAATCAAAGACTAAGTATCTTTTTACTTTAAAATATTGATAATAAAAGAATCAGATCTTCTTAAGTATGAGCATTATTGTATCTACTATTTTTGATAATGCATTTGTCTTTAAGTAAATACACTTTGAGGTTTATAGAAACATAAAATTAAATGATTATTAGAGAGAAGTCTAAATAGAATGATGACTTAATGAATCCTTTCAAGGAAAAGACTGATTATAAAAAATTTCAGTAAAGTACAGTGTTATATATACTTTGACTTCTTGATAGATTGGAGCTCTGTAGGGCTAGAGTAAACTATAATAAATGCCTCGATTGTGAATAATGAATTGAGAAGAAAACAGCCATAAATTACAATTAGCCAAGTTTCGTAATCTTTATTAGATCCTTCAAATAATAAAAATACGGACAGGATAATCAATGAGAGGAATTCCGAGAGTAAATCTTCATAAAAAAATATTACGATCGGCCACTAACACCGTGAGAAATACATTAGAGCTTACAGCTATAACTTGGTGAAGTAAATTGATTAATCACGTAAATCCAAAGAAAAAAAATATGCGTTTTAATTCAGGGACTATACATACATTCATGACTCCTTGCCATGACAGGTTTTTTTCAATACCCCTTTGACAACTAAAAAAACCTAAAATACTTAAGGGAATCACAGACTTTCATGTGAAGCTGAT